AGCCTTCTCAGTGTTGAGTGTTTCTTAAGCCAATCACCTCTGAGACAGGCACTGAGAAGCAGGAAGATGTGGGGGAAGGCAGCTGCCAAACCACATGAAGATGGGGGAGGAAAAGAAGCTGAAGAAAGACAAGGACCTTCCTCCAGAGCTAACAGAGAGAGAAAGCCTTCCCCTAGAGCTGGTGCCCTGAATCCGGACTTCTACCCCTAACCCTCCTGAACTGTGAGAAAATAAATTTGTTTGTTAAAGCCACCCACTTGCATTTCTGCTATAGCAGCACTAGATAACCAAGACAGGTGGGTTTGCGGTACCTAATGAAATTAAATATTTTCGATTGGTTAAAAACTTTTACTCTTCTAGGTAATTCAACATCAGATCATCTGAACAGGTTACTGAAAGCATTCATCTGCAGGACTTATGAAAATTCAAACTAAGATACAATTAGAGCATTCCTCTTTGTATAAGCAGCATAGTCACATATGAATAGAGCTGAGTATACATATAATAAAAGTATATGTCAATATCGAAAATTATTTGTTTCAGAATATTATCACTTCCCAAGTAATGAATGCGAACTGTACAATTTTTATGATGGTTCCAACTGCTCACAAATATCTGGATTGGAGACAAATACACTTATAATTAATCAATGTCATTTTTTTAATATAAGGGAAAGATGATCAAATGCACCCCACAAGATGCCACAAACACATTCACAAACATAAGCCGAGCAAAAAATAATCTTTGCTGCTAGGACAAATCTCAGAAGTGGCACAAAAACATTGAATAATTATTTCTGACCTAATTTTGGTATGCCTAAATTTAAACACACAACACACTTGATATTGAAACTCATATTTATAAAAAAATGTAAATTAGGAGATGAGGTGCTTTGACCAAAACAAGTATCTTTTATAATTAATTTAGCAGACTCGTTAACATATTTAAGATGCATGCTTTTTGAGGAAAGGGTAAGGAAATGGTTTCAATTAAATGTTGAGCATCAAGGACAGCTCTTTTGATGATGATATAACTCACTCCTGTCTCTAGTCCTCCACAGAAAATGCTTCAGAATTCTCTAGTGAAGGCATTGCTTCATTTTCATCTTCTTTCTACTGCCACCGTGTTAAGCAGATAAACCTCTAACAATCAGACTGTGGCATTCCATGTGTCATGTGAAAAAGGTGTGTTTGTACTAACACCTGTGACACATCAACTTAAGGCCCTGTTTGGGGAAATGCCTCATTCAGACCAGCAGTTCTCACCTGGGAGCACTGTGCCCTGTAAGGGACATCTGGCAATGTCTGGGGACACTTTTGGTTGTCACAACTGGGGGCAGAGGTATGTAAATGGTAGATATAGTGGGTGGGGACAAGGGATGCTGCTGAACACCCTACAACGCACAGGACAGCCTCCCACGACAAAGAATTATTCAACCCCAAATGTTAATACTGCTGAGGTTGAGAAACCCTAGTTTAGAGGAACATCCTAATTTAAAGGAAAACCTTATTATGCTCTAGAACAAAACCCCTTGCTGTCGAGTCAATTCTGACCCATGGCAACCCGTGTGTTGCAGAGTAGAACTGTGCTCCATAGAGTTTTCAGTGACTATAATCTTGGTGGAGCAGTGGTTAAGTGCTCAGCTGCTAACCAAAAGGTCAGTAGTTCAAATCCAACAGCCACTCCACAGGAAAAAGATGTGGCAGTCGGCTTCTGTAAAGATTACAGCCTTGGAAATCCTAGGGGACAGTTCTACTCTGTCCTATAGGGTCACTATGAGTCAGAATCAACTCACTGGCAATAGGTTTAATCTTTACAGAAGACAGCCAGGCCTTTCTCCTACGGTGCCATTGGGGAGATTCGAACTACTGACCTTTTGGTTAGCAGCCAAGCGCAAACTGTGCCATCCAGGGACCCGCCTCTAGAATAGGACCTCCAAAAGTTCCTTCAGCTTTCTGATACCCTCATTTATTCAAGTGTCAAAAGCATGACTTTGGTTTCATTACTAGATATGGAATTTCATCTTTATGTTATCTTAAAAAAGAGTATGTATGAAATTGATAGAGCCTCTTTCTAGGTAGTATTATTTGGTACACTTCACAAGATAAATGGTTTTGCAAGTGCAGTACGGGGCTTGACTCCCTAGTTCTTTCACCAAAGTCTATTAATCAAGTGTTGTCACCTCAGTGAGAAGCCCAACAGAACATGACACTAACCAAGAAAAGCTATCCACAGCTTTTGGGAGGAAGCCATCCGAAAGGCCGACAGAAGCTATATCGAGGTCCCACCTTGGCAGCACTCTTCTAGATCCTGTTTTGAAGGCATTCTTGGCAAACCAGTCTATTCATTGTTGTACATCGCTAATTAAGTGGACTGCCAAAAACCAACCTTGAGTAATGTCACTGGCCCATCTGATGTGAACTCAATGTCAATACTTGGAGCATGATCTTTGAAAGCACTGCTGAAGAGCAGGTTCAAAGAATAGGAAGACTAAAAAGTAAGGAACCATCCCTGCTACTCAGTCCTAAATGTGCACTTGTCTTGCTCCTGCAGATAAAATAGAGCACTAGAAACGTCTTAAAACCAAAAAAACCAAACCCGTTCCTGTCAAGTCGATTCCAACTCACAGAAACGTCTTAGAGGCAATAAATAAAAAGAACTAGAAAGATCTCTGATACAGCTTTTTAAGGGCATTGCTTCAAAACTGCTTTTCCATCCAAAACTTTACGAACCTTTACCTGTATGCCTCTCTCCAATCTCTACACTTACACGCTGATGCCGAAAAGGTCAGTTGGGATTATCTGGGCCAACTCCCTCAATTTACAGACAAGAAATCTGAATGGAACTCACTAATTAGAGACTTGCTAAATCCAGGCCTCTAGGATCCTAGTTAAGTATTTCTATTTTATCACATGACCACTGCTAAGCACAGAAGCAGAAAATCTAGCTCAGAACTCTGATACAAATCTCTGATACAGCTGAAAATAATAATGAAGCTGCTTCTCAGCCCTCTATTATTAGGCTAAATAACCTCAATCTTTGCACACTTTTTTAGGTTAAACACATGCTGTATGATACTGGCTGATGTTCCAAAGCTACTCTCCATTTCTCTCCTTTTCAGAAGCGAACAAATGAAAATTTAAAGAAAACATCAATGGATACCAATCAAAACTGGGCACAGGATTTTACAAAGTCCCAACACGGAGTATAATAGAAAGATGACCTCTTGGCACTTGCAGATCATTTTTTGTCATATTAATTACAAAACCAAGTTTTTTTCATGTAAGTGAGAAATTCTAGTAGGTATTCTGTACATTTTAAGTTCTCTCAATAGTGCTAAATATCCACGACTTTTTCAACAATACCATTTTTACTGTTAAATTTTTCATTTATTGGACAACATCCTGGGCATTTTCTATGTCTTATTTTGTTTACCCGTTTTACAGATGAGGAGATGGAGGCTAAAAGAGAGTATATAACTAGCCCAAGGCCACACAGCTAAGAAGTGACATAGCTGAGCTTTGCTTCAAGTCTGACTCCTGACAACCATTCTGCACACCACCTTCTCCTGCCTGGCACCTACTGCAAATCTATGTGAAAATTCATTTTTCACAAAATTATAGCACTTGAGAGTAAAAAGGAATCTCAAGAAAACCTGAGTCCAGGCACCTGAAACCTGGCAGATGAGTAATGTGCCCCAAGTCACAGACCCACCGAGTGTAGCCAATGGGAGTAAAAGCCCAGGTGCCCGCCTCCCAGTGTGGCTCTCCACCCCGAGCCTGGCCAGGCGAAATGGGAGACAAGCCTCTGAGGTGCATGGCATTCATCCTTTACCCATACAAGATTAAGGAAGCATTTACTCTGATGCATATCCGAGAACTACAGGCAGAATAACCAGATATCAACACCGCTGCTTGGGGAACCTGCTAATACTTAACACAGAAACAGTCTGTCTAACATGATTTTAAAAAAAAAAACTGTAAACAATGTGCTGGTGAAAAACATTCATATCCAATCTGCAAAACATATATGTAGTACAAAAAGTAAAATTCAACCCAGACAAAATTACCAAGTTCTGAATCAGTGAGGTCTAGACTTACAACGTTTTTATCTCTATCAGGTATTTATGGTCTTAATTTTGTTATACCTCAGTATCATCTGGAGCACTGGTGGCATAGTGGTTAAGAGCTATGGCTACAAACCAAAAGGTCGGCAGTTCGAATCCACCAAGCTGCTCCTTGGAAACCCTAAGGGGTAGTTTTATTCTGTTCTATAGGGTTGCTACGAGTCAGAATCAACTCAATAGCAATGGGTTTGATTTGCTCTAAGTATCATTTTTACTTATTATACCCAACTACGATTTTACTCCTGCCCCAATGAATTTTTTTGTGGAACTATTCTAATGCTTTATTGAGGTTATTTTAAATTTTATATTGGTCTCTCAATAGTAAGCTGTCCTGATCACTCATTCGAGGTCTTATAAAAATATTTTACCAGGGTTGAAGCTGGCAACAGGGAAGCAGGAGAGAAGCCATGCTAGGAAACTTTCTGCTAGGAAGACCTGGAAATAGTCATGTACTTATAAAACTGAAAGAAATATATTTCCACTTTAAAAAAAAAAAAACTAAACTACAACTGACAAGAAAATCCGATATCTCATATTAAATACTATAAAGCATTAAATAAAATTTTTAGAAATTTGCAGCTCCATATAAATTTAATCCTTACGTACTCTAAGTGAACTGTGAAATAAATTGAACATTCGTTGAAAATTCCCAAACACAAAATAGACAAGATTTTGCAACTATTCTATTCTCTTAACTCACTTGGCTAAAACCAGCCTTACAACCAGCATCTCAGGAATCATTTAATTGGAGCTTATCTACAATGTGATCTTTTAATTGCTTCAAATCAGGAAGTATGGGGGAGAAAATACAAACAATGAAATACAACCCACTGAAAGGCTCTGGAAATCGGAGAAGATACGAAAGATAAAGTACCTCGTAGTTTGAGAGAAAATCTAGTAATTCTGATTGAGATGGGATGTAGAGAAGTGGTTTCATCACCCGGCGGACAAACTTCTCAATGTAAACAGCACTCATGGGGCCTTTGTATTCGATTGGTCCGAAACTAGCACCAAAAAATAAACATAAGAAAATAAAAACAATACACCATGCATTAAACCTGTAAATGTATAAGTGAAATCATCAACACCGCAAAATGAAAACATCTTGCATAAGGACCCAGACCAGTTAGTAGAATAAGTAGCTTGGCTTTGTCTAAGGAAGGTCAGTTAAGAATAAGCATTTTATGTGAGGGTGGGCAGAAACAGCCATTACTATTCTATGAGCTTATTAACTGCAAACTGAATTTCAAAAAAAAAGAACATTCATTCTCAAAAAAATAAAACACATTCCCACAGTAATATTTCTTCAAAAAGAAAAGAAAAGAAAGGCAGCCCTGGAAACTGACCACATGCTGAAGGATTCCAGAATCTGAACCGCGTAATTCAATGCAGACAGACTTTCCTTTTATATATCACTCAGAAATAAGTTAAGTCGAGCAGGTGGCCCTTGGTCTACTACAAAGCTGTTATTAAACATTCCCAGATGCACTTGCACAAAGGATCACTAAGTGAGCCATAGGCCTATTTAAAGCTTTAATGAAGCATTAAAAAAGTATGTGAAGGTTTGAAGTCAGGGACCCATACAAATGACCTTCGTTACTTTCCCTTCCAGCTGTGCTTGGGGATACAATAGAGTTTGTTTTAGTATTGCTAAGTATACCACCAACATTCAGTTACTCTCCTAATCAGAATCCTTACGTGGCTTTCTTCAATCGTGCATAATACAGACATTGCTCAAATAAAATTGGACAGTATGTGGTGGGGATGGGGGAGTGCAACTCCATAACCATTCTTCTCTCTAAACAGAAACTGACAGTAAGCTTCCAGTTAACAGCAATAGTCAGAGCACAGTAAAGAATCACTAGAAATGCCATGGTAACAATACCACAATATATGATAATACACAGTTACAGAAATTCACACACACACATATAATGTGGTGGCATAAACTCAATTCTTCACTGTTACTGCAGAGTACGTTTCCAGACATAGGAATACAAGCATGAAGAAAGTAAAAACAGCATTCCACACGCACAGCTGAGAGACAAGGTTAATAATTCTATCAATTCAAGACTTACAACAAGTTAGTTAACTTTAAAAATTACCATCAACAACACACCAACAACCAACAATTTTTAATTTAAAGGGGGAAATCAATAAAGCATCTGATTACTATTTTTGTTCAGAAAAAAGGAGCCAACCAATTTGGAAACCTCAAGCAAACAACCTCTGCAGAATTTTCTTGGCCTGATGCTACAAGAGTCCTGCTGACTTAGATCCCAGAATGTAGGGTGTTTCACCAACAAGTATAGTCACTGCCATAGGACAAGCTGAGCTCAGACTGCTGAGTTCTGTACAGAGTGATCTGAGAAACCACTCTCTGCTTCAGACCCTTTTATAAACTTTGTGACTTGTATCAATAGAAACCAAAAAAAAAAAAATGGAATCTATTTTCACGAAACAGAAAAGCTTATTGGTTTAAGTAGCTATTACTAGATAAGCCATCAAGTAAACAACAGCAACATCATCAACAACAACAACACACAAATGGCAGTGATCTGTACAGTTATAAGACTCAAGGGCCACACCTGCAAAGACTATTAACCAAAATAACCTCATGACTACTGAAGGCTCCCAAGAGAGTTCAGCTGATGGAACACATTCATAGATACACATATGAAAGGATAAATAAAATAGAGGTCTTGAAGATTCTTAGGTGGAGTACGAAAAAGCTACCTTTTAGAAATTTCTGTGCCTTAGCATCTCCTTCTGTTTGTTTTAGGTATCTTGGGAACGGCAGATGTTGAGATGAGTATGAATGGGTCTGCACTGACTTAAACAAGTAAAACTTCAGCAGGCAAAGGTGAGGGGTAGGCCATTTCAAGGTGGGTTATCAACCCCAAATTCCCATCTGTAAAATGAGAGGGTTGACTAGATATTTCTAAAGTTTGTTTCATGTTCTTTCAATCTTCCTACAAAAGCTAAGAAAACAAAATAGTATAAAACAATACTGTATACCCACGTGTAACAAAATGATATTTTGTACTCAAGTCAAGGGAACACTTCTATCTTAATGACACATCAAATTAAACCCACGTGACCTGCTTACATACAGTTGCAAGGACTATACTCAGTGCTAGGCATCTGTGGACTATTCTCAAAGCCAAAAGAAATACAAGTACCTCAGCAGGTTGCATTACAAACAACATCATCCCATTACAAACAACAGAGTTCTAGAACCTTTAAGCACTACAAATTATACTTAACTTTAAAATAGAAAGAAGTAAATCTGAAAAAGCCTGCACTTTCCCCTTCAAAGTAGAAGCAGCAAAACCTCTAAATTACTGGCCAAAAAGGAAAAAAGTCTGAAAATGGCCTTAATGACCCCAAAGCAAAAACTGGCTTGTTACTGTAAATATTAAGATCACACACATTTAATACCCAGAGGAAAATCTGGGGATGGAGATGGGGTAGGAAAGTGTGATTTTGCCCTAATACTGTTTGATAGCTCCCAGGAAACAAGACTACGTGCCACACAGCATTTTAGGTTAGAGACGTGTAATGAAATGATCACAGATAGTTCACAAACAATACAGTTTGATGTTTTTTATAAATCCCAACTGATTATGGCCCAAGGAGTTTAAAGGCAGGGAAAAAATAAAGCCTATAAAAGGCAAAAACTCAAACAAATAATAATAATAAAACCCACTGCCATCGAGTCAATTCTGACTCATAGCAACCCTATACAGGGTTTCCAAGGCTGTAAATCTTTAGAAAAGCAGACTGCCATGTCTTTCTCCCATGGAGCAGCTGGTAGGTTCAAACTGCTGACCTTTTGGTTAGAAGCCAAGTGTTTAACCACTGTGCCACCAGGACTCCTTAAGCAAAGCAAAAAATAAAAAGCATAGTTCTTACTGATCTTCTTTACCCATTTCACCTCAATAAAATTCAAGCCAACTGCACTGAACGAACACAACTACAAGTTCAAAATCCCATCTCCTTCAAGTCAGATCTTAGACGTGACTTTACACCCACAGCAGGGTCTGGACAGTACTCTAAAGTCAAACACCAATATTTATGCAGCAAAATGAGTAACGGGGCACTTAAGTGGGAAAAAGACTATACATAACCTCCTGTTAATTCAGGCCAGATAAATGCATTTGGGGACAAACTTTATGAAAAATCGAATTTCAGAGCTTTATGGATTTCAGAATTGTAGATACGGGATTGTGAACCTGTACAGTGAAACCTGTGACAGCTGGAACCTGATGGACCACCTTGCTTTTCTGGGTCTCGCAAGTTTCCCGCCTTTAACAGAGTGCAGTCTTACCCCTTTTCTATCATTATCTAATAGTGGAAAATATTTTGAGTTTCCCTTCTCTGACAAGTTTCCACCTTACACAGGTTCTGGCTTTTGCAGGTTTTACTGTATTGAACTTCTTCCAAGTCTAAAAGATGATTATGCTATGCTGCCAGGTAACAGGATAAGAAGTTTTATGTATTTTTATATGTAGAACACTTTTAGAACATCTAAAATGTACAGCCAAAGAATGGAGTATTAAGTACTACTAAAAACAATGCTGTAGGGTATATAACAACATGAAAAGATGTTCATAATATACTGAGAAAAAGCAGCTTAGTAAACAGTATTATTGTATGATCCCATTTTTTATTTAAAAGGGGGTGGGTATATATTATACAGTCACAGGAGGATATAAATCAAAATACTAACAGTGACCATGTACGGCTGAACTTTCCTTTTTTTGGCTTATCTGTATTTTCTCAATTTTCAACAGTGAATATCTAATACTTTTAAACAGAAAAAACAAAATTCATTTTTAAATTGATGAACTTCATTGGAAACAGAAATATTACTTAAAAGTTCTTACCTCCGATGATACAGATATATTACAGGAAAATAAAAGAAGTGTTTCTGTTTTCTGCATCTCCCCTGATTCCACCAACAGTTAATTGCCACAAACAACACCTGCAGAGCCAAAAATAAAAAAATGAAAAGGCTTCCAAATGACTATGAATAACAACCGAAAACCTACCAAGACCTAGAAGATGAAATTATAGAAATGAAACTATTCCTCTCTCACTGAAACGTTAAGTATAAAAAAGGTGATTATTTACCATTAAGATAAAGACTCTTATCTACAGTTTCTAGGTAGACTCCGAATATTTCCGATTTGGCTCAAGAGAAAAATGATTTGCTTTGAATTCTAAAATGAATGAGTGCCAACGAGTTTTTTCTAAGTATCTCTACACTAAAACTTAGTAAGGGACGTGTCTCTGATAGTCAAATTGCACGTCTGAGAATGAAAAATAAAAATGTTACCTGCAATTAAAACACCACAAATTTCAAAGGACCATTCTTAAAGGCTATTTTAAAAACTAGTAAATCAATAATAGATGATTAAAGCTATACACTAAAAGGTAGTATTAAATAGTAAAATATGGATTAGATATTTACATATGGATGCTGAAGTATTTAAGGGAAAGTGTCCGTATGTCTTCAATTTACTTTGAAATGTACCAAAAATAAGATGGATTAATAAATGGTTGGTTAACAGAGGGTTTCTTAACTTCGGCATTATTGACATTTTGGGCCAAATAATCCATTGTTGTGGGGGCTATATATTTAGCAGCATCCCTGGCCTCTACCCACTAGAGCCAGTAGCATCCCCCCCGCCCCCCAGCTGTAGCAACCAAAAATGTCCCAAGACACTGCCAAATGTCCCCTGGGTGGGGGAGGCAAAATGGCTTCAAGTTGAGAACCACTGGATTGGAGGGATGGCTAGAGTATAAACACGTGATAAAACAAGCACAATAAAATGTTAATAGCAGAATTTAGGTAGTGGATATATGGGTGTTCGTGGTAAAATTCTTTCAATTTTGCTGTATGCTTGAAAATTTTCAGAATAAAATATTAGAGAAAAAGACTATGAATAAAATCACCTTCAGATGCCTTATACCCACTAGAAAAATATCAACGTTGCTCAAACCGTAGTGGAAACTCTGCACAGCTCCTTTCAGAGTCTATTTATGAGAAAGAAAAGCAGCAACATCTTTACTTAAGGGTGTTATCTCATTTTTTACTGAAAAATAGGGCACAGTCTATCGTGTTTGTTAACTTTAATAAGCAATGTGGCTCAGAAGACTTTTGCCTGTTTCCAAAACTAAACCTAGTATTTCCCCCAGGAGGGGGAAACCCTACTGAGAACACAGACTAATAAGCTCTCAATTCAAAAAGAGCTGAAAAAATTCTTTGCAAAAAATAAGCAGTGCCCGTTAAGTTGTGGACAGTGCTATAACCTCTGCCACTTGTTGCCATGCAATCTTTAACTGCTTCACCCCTCTAAGCCTGGGGCCCCCTTCAAGAGAAAAATAAGGATAAACAGCATCTGCCTCACAGAACTGTTGAGGATGAGCACAGGGTCTGGCACACCAGAATAATAATATTCCAATGTAATCACTCTGAGGACACAATGCTTATGTTGACTATAAGGTAACAACTTACTTGATTTATACTTAACTTATGGACCACTTAAAAATACAAATAGACTGCTTCCCCATTCCCCACTTTGTTTTCTAAATTTAGAAAACTTGGGAATGATTGACAAAGTGGTGACTTCTTTTATTCGAACATACTGCTGCCTGTGAATACTCCATTAGAGTTCCTGTTTCTTCTTCTTGAGCATTAAGGAGTATCTACCAGTTTGGTTACTATTAGAGGTTTTAAGGAAGTAGAGGTAAAGGGAAAACAGGAAATAGATAAGTTCCATGGGTCCACAGCTGGAACACAAAAGGCACTCTCCCCTCTCACTGCTATAAGGAATGGAGAGTTATACTTCAACAGTACCTGGTATTATTTTCAGGAATATAATGGTTAAAACTGCTTCGCTGAGCTGGGCAGGGAGGCCAGTCATCATTCATAACATTGTTTCCAAGAAAAACTAACTGAGAGTTTTGAAAGAACTTCTGGAACTAGGCTGCCTGCCTGCACAAGTCACTTCAGATCACTGGTTCTCAGCGGGAGTCTCTCAGGGCTGCTTTCCACTTGTTTCAATGACGGGGGATGCTACAGGGCATGTGGTGGGCAGGGGCTATCCTAGAGGTCCTGCAATACTCAACACTGCTGTGCACGCCAAGAACCCTCCGTATCATCCGAGACAATCTGAATGTCCTACCAAACACTGATGTCGAGTAAACCAAAAACCCAAACCGACCGCCACCAAGTCTATTCTGACTCCTAGTGACCTTAGAGGACAGAGTAGAACTGCCCCATAGGGTTCCCAAGGCTGTAATCTTTACGGAAACAGACTGCCACAGCTCTCTCGCAGAGCCGCTAGTGGGTTCGAACCGCCGACCTTTCAGTTAGCAGCCAAGTGCTTAACCACTGCATCACCAGGGCTCCTTCATGTCAGGTAAAAACCTGTTTATCAGTATCCAAGCCGAGAACCTAACCCCATTTTATACGTGGATCCAAAGCATGGCTTTAACAGTGACTGGATTTCTCAGGAAGGCAACTTCTGTGTAAACTGAGGGCTGACTATAGTTTGTCTGATTCAGAACTTTACCAAGAACTGTTCACCAGTTACATAATCCAATCACTGACAATAGTGACTCACAGTATTGGAGACGCCAACACAACATACTTCTTGGTCTACATCTGTCACTGTCCCATTCACAGTGATTCTACAGAAAGGTACAAGGACCTGTTTGCCCAAGGATTTACATACTGAAATACAGAATTATATATTTAATTATAAATTAATTTTGCTTTTCCCACCTTTGTATTACAATTAGAATGTTAGACTATTAATCTTGAAATTATACGTGCAGAGAAGTTTTATCATCTATGAATTTCTCTTCAGGATGGTAAAGGGACATCATAAAATACCTGTTTTATGAAGGGCAATCAAGATTCATCGGGTTGAAAACCACTGCCATGGTGGCCTCACTTGCCTATATATTGCTCTGATTGAGCACAAAGGTGGCATTCATTAAACGTTTTGGTTCGTGTATTAAAAAGGTCAGCCTTAAATGCAAAAAGATCAAAGTTTATTAGAGGTTACCAGGTGCCTGGAGGGGAGGGAGAACTGGGAGTTATAGCTAACAGAGCTCCTGTTTGCGATGATGAAAAACTTTCAGAAATGAACAGTGAGGACTGTTGCACAACACAGTGAATGTAATTAGTGTCACTGAATTGTGTACATAAAAATGGATAAAATGGTAAGCTTTTCATTACATGTATTTTACCACAATAAAATTAAAAAAAAAAAAAGGCCCACCTTATTACACTGTAGTTGCACCATATATAAACTCCTCATATATAAAATACCTAACTGGCAAATATCAAACAAATATTCAAGAAGTAACATTCTGAGTGCCCTCTGCCCCCACGCCTTTCACTACTGAACACAGCACCTGGGGTGAGCACAGCCTCAACTCAAGATGCAGATCTGCCCCCACTCCTGCTGCTAACCGACTACCATTAGTCAGGAATCCTGCTTCTGTATAGAATGCTTTACCATGAACCAAGTGCTCCAGGCCTTCAGCTTGGCAAAAATCAGCCAGTTTGGCAAGTTGTCTCTGTGGTAACATCTAGCCCTACCCATTAGGGACAGACAGTCATCTGATTCTCAGGCCGAATGCCAGCATTACCTGGTCTGAAAGCCGGCTCGCTGCTTGCTCAATTTCTGCCCTGGCAGCGATGGACTGGCCACACCATGGGGCATAGAAGAACAGCAGCACCACCTCCGAGTCCCGGCGAATATGCTCTGCGTAGTCCAGCTGCCCCTGGAAGAGGTCAAGGACCGGCGACCTCAAGGAGAAAAAGCTGACAGGTGGCTTTGCTGGTATAATCACATCTTTTGCTCGACTGAAAAAGAGCAAACACAAACAATATGACTTAGTTCTTCATCTTCTAACAACAACTTTGTGTGGAAGGAGAATGAAGCTTTAAAAAGAAAAGTTTTCTCTTGAATAAGAAAAAGGAGTTCCAAAAACACTGTCCTGGTGTGTTTAAAAAAAAAAAAAAAAAAAAAAAAACCTCTGTACTAAGGCAACAGCTGCATGAGGGAATGATGTAAGACATGAATCATATGTTGAAAATGATTCTCTAATATCCTGTCTTCCCAGGTGTAGAGGTGGAAGGGTAATAGAGAGGAGGAGAAAAATGTCTGAATAATCAGAATCCTTGAGTCTCTGCAGCCTTGCTCTCCACAGGAACCACTGATTTCCAGGACATTAGAGCCACCGGAGGGCTCACTTCGGAACCAAGGGGAAGAAGCACACATAGCCACCTCTAGTAAGATTTCTATGGGAAACGCCTACTATCAACTCAACTTTGAGAAAACACTAAGTTTGTTAACTGGAGGTGGCCTGTACTTATCCAGGGCATTCAAGCAAAATGAATAATTAAATCATAACATAGACCTCTCTAGATATAGATCATAATCCAAAAGTTAATAAATAGGAGTTACACGGCAAAAGCCTGTTTATCTGGAAAACAGGCTTCCTGAACACTTGAGGTTCCCCAAAGGGAGAAATCAGGACAAGAAAGAAAAGAACATTGGACAAGTGGTCAGAAGTCAAACAGCTGCCACTAACTCTCCCCATTAAGACCAAAAGGTCTTGGCTGAGGTTGTGTCCCATCAAATTAAAGGGGCCTGGTAAGCACTTTTACCTTCCCTGAGTGTACTAACAAAGCATAAAACCATTATAGCCATTTAGCTAAGAAACCAGCAGAGGGAATAAAAACGGACCCTAAAAAATATTCAATCAACCCAAGAGAAGTCAGGAAAGGACCAAGAGAGACACAAAAATCAGAAGGGACAAACGGAAACCAAAGAGCAAAAAGGTCGACTTAAGCCCACTCCTATCAATAATTACATTAGATAAAAAATAATTAACTCAATTAAAAGGAAGAGATTTAGACACCCTTTTAGCTCAGTGGTGAAGTTACCTCCAAGGTTCACTGTTCAGCCTGGGAGAGGACAGCCCCGTAAAACCAAATGAGACTAACGAGGTACAGGAGTCCAGTGACAAGGGCCAGAAAGCAGAAGGGGACAAGGAAGCTGGTGATAGGGAACCCAAGGTTGAGTAAGGATATTGTTGATGTGTTGTGAGATTGTTAACCATTGTCATAGGGCAACATTTGTAGTAACTGTTAAATGAGAAACTATTTTGTTCTGTAAGCCTTTACCTGAAGTACAATAAAAAAAAAAGGAAGAAATTTCCAGACAGGATAAAGAAACAAGACTCAGCTATATGCTAAGTAAAAGAGACATATTTTAAATTAAAACCACAGACAGGATGAAAGAATAACCTTGGGAAAAGATACACCATTTCAACAGTAAAAATAAGAACGCTGGCATGACTCACCATGTGAATAGATAGGTAAACTGGCATATATTCTTACAGTTAAATGGCACTCAGCAATTAAAAAAAAAAACTATTGACACATACCATTACTTGGACTAGTCTCAAAATAATTATACTGAGTGCAAGAAGTCAGATACTAAAAAGTCCACACTATATGACTGCATTGACATGAAATTCAAAAACAGGCAAAAGTAATATAAAATGAAATAACTTGGATCAGTGGTTGTCTCAGGTGGTGAGAATGACTGCAAAGGGGCACTGAGGGAATTTTCTGGGGACATGAAAATGATCTATATCTTGATTGGGATGTTAGTTACATTTGTCCAAAGTCATCCACCTGTACATGTAAAATGTGTGAATTTTGCTGAACGTAAATTGTACCCCAATGAAGCTGATCAGAAAAAAAGGCTTGGCTAGTAAGTCTGACCTCCTCAATGAAGCTTCCTTTGATGGCTCTAGCTACAGCAGGATGCCCTCATTTTTCTCTCAGCTCCCGCCTGGTTGCCTTCATAGCGCTCAACAGAATCTATAACTTATGCCTTTTACTTATTTAGTATCAATTTACTCTACCAGACCATTAACTTCATCAGGGGAAGGACCCTGCCAATCTTTCTCATGATTAGAACCTCACTGTTTAGCACAGTTCCTGGTACTCTACAGTTCAATAATTTGTTAAATGAACAAATCTACACTGCTTACCTCACCTGAACATATGTGAAAGCAAATTAAACATAAATCAACACAAACATGTATTACTGAGAACATTCTGAAAGAATCAAAATTAGTGTTACGAGGGTTCATTTGCTTCACTAGGTGTATGAGTCTAAGGGCCACCAAATTAATCCTAACTTTGCATGTGTTCAAATGAAGTTGATAATTTGGTTTCTCAGAAAACAGCAAAGCAGCAGGGAGAAGGGGCATAAGCAGCAGTCCATCAGATATTGAGAACCAAAACAGAAAACATGTAAACACCCAAGACCGAAGCTAGGTCATTTAGCAGGAGAGAAAGAGTCCCACACCCTCCTGTGCATCCAGAAGTGTTAGCCTCCTGAATTGAGAAGACCGTTTCAAATATATTATTTTCCCACTTTAACCAAAAATTATTAACATAATCGAGTAGTGGTGTTAAAAGGAGCCAATCTCCCATTTGTTCACTCAAAGTAACATTTTAACCCTGCCATCAAAGAGCTTTCCATGTAGAATAACTTCTTAAGCTGAAAGATTCATTCACTCACATAATTCAAAAAATGTTTACTGAGCAAATGCTACTGTGGCCGAGGCACTGTACCACAGGCACTGAGGATACAGCAGTGAGCATGATACCATGTTCTCAAGGAGCTAACTAACTTTCCAGGGGAGGAAGACAAGCAAACCATGAAACATATAAACAACAATAAAGATACACAAAATGATCAGTGCTATGTGGAAAATTTAAACAAGATGATGTGACACAGAAAATGACTGAATCGTTCCTCTGATGGAGTAGTGGTCAGGGTGGAATCATTTAAGAAGACAGCCAGGCAAAGAGGTGGGAAGCCCTGAGGGTGGGAAAGTGACACATTTTCAAGAGATCCAAAATTCTGCTCTTTGGAGGTATTTTTTTTTTTTGTTCAAACTGTGTTAAGTGTCATATAATGCAATCCAAGGAAAAATGTAAGACTCTGATAGCAAAACAAACACAGGATAATTAATCATCAACTTAGTGTTCTTGCTCTGCATGTTCAGAGGAGCTCCTCAAGTAAATGACCTGTCAAAAAACAAACATTAGCCAGGGAGAAGAAACGTATGCCTCTGCTCCATTAGAAACATTCACCCTTGAATTGAACATTTCTGAGAAACTCTACCTAGCTCAAAGGTTTCCTGCAGCTCTGACGTCTCTGGTACAAAAAACTCAAGAGTTGGCCCCAAATAGAAAAGGCTAGTTGCAATCTCAAATTTTTATACGAAATTCATATCCTACAATTCATTCCCAAGAGGAGCTGAAGCAACTTTCAAATTACAAAATGCAATAAAGCAAAATGAACAAATATACATGTACATATATATATAGACATATGCACATACACACACACTATTTTTTTCCCTCCAAATCAAGGTAAAAGGCAAGTGAGATGGATGAAATCATGGGGATTTAATGCACAGAAATGCAGGTACAATAAATATTAAATGCCCAGAAATGTACAATTCCTCAAACCCAAAACAATCTTTTTTTATACTATCTGGTTTGACCTCAGCTAAGCAACAGATGCTGAAGAGGACCAAAAACCAAAAACCCAATGCCGTCAAGTTGATTCTGACTCATGGTGACCCTGTAGGACAGAGTAGAACTGTCCCATATGGTTTCTAAGAAGTGGCTGGTGGATTCAAACTGTCAGCCTTTTGGTTAGCAGCCGAACTCTTAAGCACTGCGCCACCAGGGCTCTGCTGAAGAGGACAATCAACTTATTTTAGGCCTGGAGCTAGTAATAAAATAAAATTTAAGAAATAAATAAATAAAACAGAATCCAACTCTCCTTCCAACTCTCTGTCCTCATTAAAGCAAAGATCTTAAAACAGGAAAACAGGGACAGAAATGTTAGTCAGTTGTACAATGGTAAGACAGTATCATGACACCATTCAAGCAAAGATGACTCTAAGAAGAAATAAATGAGTCTATTAAAAGCCTGTCAAATCTACCAGTGGCACAGAAATGAGCTGATAAGCTGCCCTTCAGGGCTGACGCTCCTTGCCTGAAGCAGGTAAGGATCTTGCTCTGCTGGCTCTGGTAACTGGATTCATACCTGTTTTCTTCCTGAAATCTCAAAGGACTTTCATATCTAAGTCACGTTCTCTCAAGGCACACATTAAGTATTATTTCTGCAGATGAACAAACTGTTGACAAGCAAGCAGGCGCTCTGCCCTTCGAGGGGGGAAAACCTCTCTTCCTCATTTGAATCCCAATGCCACCTTGCCATATTCCACCTTGTAATACTTTGTCTGCAGTATTTTCCTTTTGGGGGACCTCAGGTTAAAAGCCTCATTCCTGACAGTACAGGATTCAAACTCTAGCCACTTACTAGCTGGGTGTGATTTGAGGCAACTTTTGTAACATGCCAAAGGCTCAACTCCCTCATCTGTAAATTGGGAAGGTTAACAGCATTTCCAGACTTCACTGGTAATTGTGAGATTTAAAAGAGATCCATACTAGACTCTCAATTATGAGTTAAATGAATAGTGTGTTTGTATAAAACACTAGTTCTCATGCCAGCGATTTTGCCCCTCCGGGGGACATTGGGCAATGTCTGGAAACATTTTTGGTTGTCATGTCTGGGGGTACATACTACTGGCATCTACTGAGTAGAGGCCAGGGATGCTGCTAAACATCCTACAATACACACGACAGCCCCCCACAATACAGAATTATCTGGCCCAAAATATCACAATAACCCCACATATTGTGCTTAACAGACTCAATAAAAATGTTCCGAACTGAAATCTCCCTCTTTGCTGATATGCCAGACAGTAGCAACACAGATTTAGAAACTGGAGTGGCCAAACCAAAAACTCGTTGCCATCAAGTCAATTCCAACTCATAGCGATCCTATAGGGCAGAGTAGAACTACCCCTAGGGTTTCCAAGGCTGTAATCTTTATGGAAGCAGGCTGCCACGTCTTTCTCCCTCGAGCAGCTAGCTGGTGGGCTCTGGTGGGTTCGAAATGTCGACCTTTTGGTTAGCAGCCAAGTGCTTAACCACTGCACCACCAGCAGGTGAAGATTACCCAATAGGCAAGGTAAGCATGGTGCTTACCTTGCTTTCCAGACCATATGCAGTGAACAATTTCACATTTTTTTCACTACATCAAAGACTGTTTCTAGGTGTGGCTGGCATCTGTCTCCCTCTCAATCCCACAGCACCTTCCTACAGAACCAAAGCCTCTTTTCAAATTTACAATCCCTGACAGGGACTGATTACCCAGTAAGCAAGGTGGTGAAACCCAAATGAAACTGTTCACTACAGATAAGTAAGCAAGCACAGGTAAGATCAATGAACGCATAGATTTTCAAAGAGTCTGGGACACTGTAACGGCTGTAAATCACGACACTGGAGGCATAAGGGAAATGAAATAGGAGACAAAAGAGGGTCCTACAGCCTGGGCAGAAGTGACAGGTGCACACCAAGAAATCCTAACAGGTGAAGAGCAGCTAAGAAATCTAATCCACCTCCCTCGGTACTAAAACGGGACGAAGAAGCTCCAGGCAGCACCCCGAAACCTCGCCATACGGCTGGCTGGCAGAGAAGAAGAGAAAGTAGGGGGCCATGGCCGCAGGCTGCGGGAGGGTCAAGGCCGCTGCTCTAAGCAAGGTCTGGCCCAACTTCCTGGACCCCGCCGCTACGACCCCCGACCCTGAGGCCCGAGACACCCACGCACCGCCGGCGGGGCGGAGGGGTGTCGGGCCGGAGACTCGGGGTCCGGGCCGCCTCACCTGCAGGTAAACTTCACGGCGAGGAGCAGCGCGCAGCCGAGCGCCAAGGCCCCGCAGAGCAGTTCGGGCCGCCCGCGCGCCATGAGGGAGGCGCCGCGCAGCCCGCGGCGGAGCCGGCCC